GTATCGTTTGAAGCCATGTAGCAAGGGATATACCTTCCGCCGTTGAAACCTTCGGCGGCGGTCCATCAATTTCAGCCCCAAACCAAATTTTTTTCTTTGAATCAGAGTTTGAATCCGCCCGAGGAATTTGAGTTTTTGGAATCAAAGCTTAATCAACAATACAGTCCTCAATTTGTTGTTTTTTTTCGGGAGAGAGAAAGATTGATTAATTTGGTGTTTCGGTGTGATGTGCTTTCGGGTTATAGTCCTTAATTTTCGATGGACGATGAAGCAGAGGCGGCAGGCGGCGGAGGGCGACGAAGCAGAGTTGGGCAAGCGGAGGGCGGCGAAACAGAGGCGGCGGAGGGAGGTAAAGCAGAGGCGGCAGGCGGCGGTTTGAGGGCTGAAATGGATGAAGAGTAATTTGGTTGGGCCGGTGGTGACGGGATAAGTTTGGTTGGGGAAGATGCCCTTTTTCAAATAAAAAAATAAAAAAAATTATAATATCAAATTATCAATACAAATTACAAAGTAATAAATAAATTTATAAAAGCAATAAATCATCAAGTGAAAGGGATGTCAGGGGGGATTTTCGTTATTTAGGCTTACCTCAGGGGGGTTTTGGTAATTTGCCCTTTATTTTTTACATATTTAACAGAAGGATATAATAGACATTTCACGTTTTCGGTTAAAAAAATTCGGTCAACCGTTAGTCAAGGGGGGTTTTCGTAATTACGAGAACATGGGGGGATTTTCGTTATTTAGGCTTACCTCAGGGGGGTTTTGGTAATTTGCCCTAAATTAAATAAAAAATAAAGTAAATAAAATAAATATAAATATATATATATAGATAGATAGATACACAGCTCACCAAAAACCAAACTTCCATACCAAAATACTCTGTTCAGACCTTGATGATAGGCATAATAAATTAATGAGGGGATGGTACTTCAATAAAATAATATTTAATTCTCCTAATCGTTATGATATGACACTCAATTGGAAGAATAAATAATTAATTAATTGTTTATGATTATTTTAATTAAAAATGCAGAGATGAATATGGGGGGGAATAGCATCTTTGCTAGGTGACACAAGGGTGGAGTCAAGAATTTATTTGCAGTATAGTCCCCCAAACATTTATAGTATAGTATTGACTTTACAAAAGAGGGCTTAATTAGATTATTGGCCTTATTTCTGTCTTATGTTCCCTTTATTAACATGGCATGTCACAATTTTGCAACAAACCCCCTTAGATCTGCTAAAAAAAATTCAGATCTAGGCACTAAATATAGATCTGATTGAATGTTAGTGACGTCACTTTATAATATTATCATTACAATAGTGGAAATTGGAACACAATTTTTTTTTTTTTTATCGCGTAATATATTTTACACACTAGGTAATTTAGAAATGGGAATTCCTAATTTTGTCGATCTATTCATTTTAGAACAAGTTTTTTTTTTTCATTTCAGTCTCTAAAACTCTGATTTTTTCCAGTTTTTTTCAGAATGAAATTTGAATTAGTTTTTCAATTTTTTTTTTCAAAGTGCTAATTTTTAAACAAGTGATAGCATCCATTTTAATAATAAAAAAACAACTAATTTTTTTTTTACCATTTATATGTACTAAACAAAGTTATTAAAGAATATTCTCTCAACCAAAGTGAGTCGTCGCTAATACTATAAAGAGCATTGTTAGTATTAAAAGAAAATTGCCTTTTAAACTCTAAAGCGAGTAAGTGAACTATACTACAATAAAAAAATATTATAATTAAAAATTTACATATTAAAAATTAAACTAAGGTCTCGTTTGGTTTCCAATATAAGATTAGTCAAGATTAGACTAAAATAGAATCCAATTGTTTTATTGAACGTTGGAAACTCCAATAAAAAACATGTCTAGAAGACATGAAAACATAATATTTACGAGTCAAGTCGACAAGTTATTAAAGATACAAAACATCAAACAACGTCGAATTATCTAACTAATCTCCTAACCAAATGAGCCCTAATGGAGTAAAATAGTAATTTCATTAGTTCAAAAGAGGGACAAGGTTAATTTTGGACCACGTAAAAGATTATTTTGGACCATTGTCTAAATTCGTTGTTTGTTCATTCTTGTTTGGCTCCACTAGTAACATGCCACAATTTCAGTTTGCTATCACCAAAAAGATATATACAGTTTCATTTTTTTTTTTCTTTATTTTTTTGGTCAATTAAATTCTTGGAGCTACTCTCTATCTACCCAACATTGATGAATCACCAATTCAAGTGTTCTTACAACTTTTATCCAAAAATGGTCCTTTGAAAAAGGAAATGGATTTACTATTTTACTACTATTGTAATTAAAGTTACTCCCACTATTGAAAAAGGAGTAACAAATAAGTAATTCCAGCTTGAAAGTTGTCTTAACCTTTATTAATTGGGATTAGGGTTGTCTAATCTGACATCTTTCCCTTAATCCCTCTCCTTTTTCGCTTGTGACCATCTTAAAAGTGAAACTAAAAAAAGAAAAAGTTAATTAATTAATTAATTAATTATGAGGCAAAAGAAATACGTACGCTCCCACTATGCAATGAATGCATTCCATTAGTGTCTGGTAAAAGATGGTCAGTACGACTATTGGTCAAATGCATCATCATAATTTTTCTTCATCAATTAATTAATAAATAAATAGTAGTATTTTAATTAGGGGTAATATGCTACAAGTCCCTCAAACGAAACATAATTTGAACTAAATGACAAATTCGAATTCATTCTTTTAATTAAATCCTTAATTTGAAATAATATATGAGCCACATCCCTAATTTTTTTTATATCCCAATTTTGCCCTTATACCCTAAAGTTTCTAACCTACATATTCACGTTTCTATTCAGATTTATTTATTATTTTGCTATTCTCTCACGTTCTCTCTCTCTCACACGTTGTCTCTCTATATTCTTTTCTCTCTCGTTTTTTTTCTCTCTCACCTCTCCATCTCTAATTCTCTATATCTTTCCTGCTTTCTTCTTCAGCAAGAGGCAAAGGACTGTGGTGCACGAGACGGCAACGGGGGCTGTGGTGGTGGAGGTGCGGCACGGGGCCGGGCTGTGATGGTCGATGCAAGCCGAGGGGCTGTGGTGGTGAAGGTGCGACAGGGGGCCGGGTTGTGATGGTCGATGCAAGCCGACGGGTTGTGGTGGTGGTGGAGGTGCGGCAGGGGGCCGGGCTGTGATGGTTGATCCGAGCCGAGGGTCTGTCCCGCTATGGTGGTCGAGGCGGCGACGGGGGCTGTCCCGCTATGGTGGCCGCGGTGGTCGCGGCGGCGTGGAGGTCGAGGCAGCGGCGAGTGATGTGGTTATGGTGGAAATTTAATTGAAAGCATATTCTTTACTAATTGCATCTGATTTTCTTGATCCTCAAGAGATTTTGTTTGATTTGGATTAAAATGGTAAATCTAGGTTTTCTCAAACTTGGTAATTGACTACGGTTGCGACGGCTGCGAATGTAGGCGGCTAGGGTTTGACGGCTGCTGCGTTGACGGCTAGGGTTGGCGAGATTGGTGTTGTTGGTTGCTAGGGTTTTGTAGTGCACCGTAGTATATCATAGTACACTGTAGTAGACCATAGTCAACTACAGTATTGACAAAAAAATAAATTAAATAAAAAAATAAAAAAAGTGTAGGTTGAATTACAAAAAAACGAAAAACGAGTTATTTTTGTAATTTTGAATATTATGTAGAAAAAAAGTTTTTTTTAATAATAGTTTAATCTATAATACCACAGTATACCATAGTATACTATAGTACACCATAATATTTTTTGAAATCTGCTGTATTTTTTAATAAAAATGAAAAATATTTTTTCTCGTAATTTTCAAATCAAAAATAAGGAAAAAAAAATTGTTTGTAATAATTTAAAAAATAATAATATAAAAAACAAAAAAATAAATTAAGATGAGTGAAAGGGCATTTTGGAATGAATTTAATAAAGGATGGGAAGCAAATGTTTAGTTGAGGTTGTCATTTAGTTCTATTTAGTTTTGTCACCAGAGACCTATCTCTTAAGACCCCTTTTAATTATCATTTTATTTTTATTTTCTTATTAATGTTTTTCCCCAAGCAATTTTGGATTTTATATATGTATAATTTCATTATCACATAGAATATATATCCAAAATGAGCATACAAAAATAATCAATCAAAAATTGAGTTTGAGAGTGTGACATATGTGACACGTGGCCCTTACCATATGAAAATATCACTAATGTCGAGACTTCAATTGTCTTAATATAATAACTTCGATAATGACCTCTCAACTATATAAAGGTGGTAAGTATGCAATAATCAAACCTAACCATTGTAGAATTGTAGACTAACAAAACTTAATTAACCAACCACGTTGACCTTTTGGGCATTATACTTTTAATTTTGACTTTTTATTATCAATTTCTATATATATATACGCAACGACTTCCCTAGTACCTATTATTTATGTTAATTGTATCGTGCTTTGACTTACATGGTTGCTTGGCTTTTTTCCAATTTAGCAATTTTTAATTATTGAAGTTGAGGGGGTTGATTTTTTTTATTAGGGGTGTAACTGAGCTGAGCAGTCAACTCATAAGCTCGATGAGGTGGCTCGACAAAAGCTCGAGTTATACTTTCCGACGAGCTCAGAAAATTTGACTCGAGCTCGAAAAAACTGACGAGCTTGGTTCGAGATCGACTTATTTACGTATCCCTACACATAATATAGAAATGCCTAATAAGGCTAGTAACAATGTGACATGTTGAAAGCTCCTTATGCATTAGGTGACTTAAATGTTGAAACTTGAAAGCTCCTTTGGCATTACGTGACTTAAATGTTGAATGCAACATTACATGAAGATTTTTTTTTTTTTTTTTTTTACTAATTAAAGGAGGAGGACCATTTCTTGTAATTATATTCAAACATCAAATAAAATGTTCATTTTTTCGATTACTTAATTAATTATACCGTGCCGCATCAACCAACTTAATCATACACATTTTTGGTTTTGTAGTTGATACGGGACCACTCGATTTGGAATATGGTTTTCGAGAGTACTGATCGAGCTAGTAATGAGTTGACCGAGAATGCAAGATCACTGCAGACGAGCTTATTTATAAATTAAATATTTAAGAAACTTTCCGGATATCCAATTACTTGAATAGCCTTTGAATGAAAATTTAGTGTTGAATAATAGCCTTAAAAAGCATAGTCCTGAGTCTGGAATTTGGATATACAGAGAGAATTTAGTCAAATAAATTAAAGCATGTAGTGTGATCAGCTGTGAATGCACGTGCTTTGCCTCTAGTTACTTGTTAATTAATTTGAAGTTGTTGTAAACAACAAATAACCGTAGAATTAAGAGAATGTGATGGATCATGGGTCCGGGTTAATTATATATATAATACTTTGTTATCGATAATTGCACCCCTGCGTCGTCGAACCCCGTAAACAAGAAGACACCACTTGAATTAAGATTTCTAATGTGGTTTAGCATATATTTAAGTTATTAAAAGAAAGTCATTAACGTTAATCAAACAAATTAGTATCGAATACTTTCGGTGTTGTCGGATAATTTCCCTGAGCCCTGTTTTCTTTCTTTTTTTTTTTTTTTTTTTTTTTAATTTTATAATTTTGTCTTGAGCTTTGTCCATGAAATTTAGTTGTAGAGGACTGTGCATGAAAAGCAAATTTAAAAAAAAAAAAAATAATTAAAAAAGCTATATTGATTATAAAAAGAAAATATATAACCTGCCAAATTCAGAAGAGAGGTGGAATATTGGAATTTACATCGCTCACTGTAACCTAAGTTTCTCCATGGATGGTTTAATTTTGATGATATATTTTGAATTGATAAAAACAATAAATGGTGCATTTATGGAAGAGTGTGCATGGCGTTCCGACCACGCCATCTTTTATTTACCTCGTTCATGAAAAACAAATTACTCCTTTCTTTCTTGTTCAGCTTACATAGGTGAAAGAAATCAACAGCTCAATGTTCTAGAACATTGTTCTATTCGATGCGGAGTATTCGTTTTTGATCTAACGCATACTAATAACTTCGAAACCTGTCGGGACTATAGCAAGAAAGATCGACGGAAGTCGCGTCGCCGTCAAGTACCAGCTCGGAAACCGCCATACCGGTGGCGGGCCCGTTAAGAATTCCCCAACAGCTATGGCCCGTCGCCACGTAACAACCCTTCACCCCGGGAACTTTTCCGATCACCGGAAGACTGTCGTCGGTGCAAGGCAAGATGCAGGCTTGCTCAGCCTTCACTACGGCTTCTCCTTCCGCCAAATGGCGCGACACGTTTCTGGCTACTGTCTTCAGGACCCGTATCGATTCGGGTACGGGTGTTATCTCTTCCGGGTCGTCCGGTACCTCCGCCTCGGCCGACATCCCACATATGTACACCTCCCCTAGGGTGAAATTCAATCACAAACATTTCAAATTATTAATTTAATGAAGTTCATTGAAATTATGAAGTGTTTGTTCACAAGTTACTCCTCAAATTTTACGCCTTTTGAACTGTATATGCCGATTTTGAGCCGATAGTTTGGATCAAATTTGAAGTATGAATGAGATTCTGATTTTCGATCAGATTATAATTTTCCAAAAATAATTACGAAAATTCCGATTTTTTTCTTCTTCTTCTTCGAAAATTACATTTATAGAATCAATATTATTATATATTTTAGATTATAGGTGAATGAAAAAAATGGAATTAGCGAATTCTCCCGATTTCGATATGAAAGTTGGAACGTTTTTCATTCAGGCTTCTGACTTCTCTATGGATGCATTAGTTCAAAATTAAATTCAGCAAAGGGTTAACTAACTTACTACTAATGAATAAAAATGGTGAAATTATAGTTTTCATCCTCAAGTTTGCACCGATTTCACATTTGGTCCCCATGTTAAAAAAAACACATTTGGTTCCTCATGTTCGAGTAATTGAACACTTCTGATCCTCTCCGTCAATTTACCGTTAGCCCGTTAGTGAAAGCGCTTGATTCCATAGTTTTAACGAGAAATTGACGATAATGACTAAAAGTGTTGAATTTTTGAAAGACGATGGACCAAATATAAAATCAGTGCAAATTTGAGGCGTGAAATCTGTATTTTGCCCGAATAAAAACTGAAATTAAATTAGAAGGAATTAATACCTGTTGGGCGGGGATAAACTTCCGGGTCAATGGGCTTTCCACCTTGGGCCGGATAATAACTCAAAAACAAAGCATGACCCGTTATTGCATTCGGATCTTTGGGCTCCAAAACAATGCTGTGAGCTTTTAGCCCATAAACCCTAAATATTGAGCTCAACAGTGAAAAATTCCCAGTCCAAGGCCCAAGCGCCAACACCACCGCGTCAGCCTCAATCTCTACACCGCCCTCCAAAACCACCGCCTTCGCCTCCCCTTCCTCCGCCGCCACCTCCACCTTCTCCAATTTTCCGATGACCACCTTCACTCCATAATCCTCCACCGCCTTCGACAGCAGCGTCTTCGTAAACAGCTGCGGGTGCACTTGCGCCGTCGTCGCCGTCGTCCCGATTGTCCTTGGGGCTTCCCCCGCCCCGTCAATCCATGACGGAATATTCTTCCGCGATTTTCTGTTCGATCGATCTGAAGAGGACGACGTCGTTTCAGTAATTGAGAGGCTCAGAGTGGTGACGGGGCGGTAGCCGTACGATTCTGCGCCGTTGAGCTCTTCGGCCAGCGAACGGTGGAGATTGAAGCTGGCACGTGCGAGGGAGGAGACCGGACTATCGTCGCACCAGTCTAGGGCGAGGAAACCGCCGGCTTTGCCGGAGGCGGCGCAGGCAATCGACGATTGCTCGACGAGCGTGACGGCGGCGCCTCTCTTGGATAAGAAGTAGGCGGTGCACACACCGATGACACCGCCGCCGCAAACGACCACTCTCTTCGGTTGATTTTGAGCCTCCATGGGCGGTGATGCTGATAACGAGCAGCGAATCGAGAACTGAATTGGGGCTAATTTGGGCGGTCCGATTTGGATTCGGGTCAAATGCTGATGACTCATTACCATTGCCATTTTCACAAGGTTGCGGCCTCGTGAGCCGACACGTGTAAGTGCATTCCCCTAATTCGCTTTCGTGATCATTTATTTAATTGATTTTTTATTTTTCTGATTATTAATAGATCATTGAATAAATTATAGCCATAAAATAAAATAAAAAAAAAATCCTAAATTGAATACCACACCCTTTTCTTAGGGGTCTTAAAATGTAAGTATCTGGTGACATACGTTTTAATTAAAATTTGTTTTACATCATTTATTAAATTCATTCTAAAAATGTTTTTCCACACACAAATTCGAAATTACAACAGATTGTAAATATACTATGATGAACTATGGTATTATTTAATATTTTTAAGTTTGTATCTAGTATTTTTTTTTTAATATTTTTTACGTGAACACGTTTTTCTTTTATGTGTTTCTTTTTTTCTTTATTTTCTTTTTCATTTTTCGAATATTTTCATTATATTAAAACCTATTTTGTCACTTCATTTCTACATAAATTGAAAATTATAATTTTAATAATTTTTTTCGGTCGTAGACATCTGCAGAAACCTGTAGAAAACCATAGTAATTCGTAGTAAGCCACATACATCTTGAAATCGTAGCTCATCCTTTTAACCGTAGCCGTCAGCCAGCCATAGACAACCATAGACACCTACGAAATTCGTAGTCATCCAAAAATAAAATCCTGAATCTACAACCACCGTCGCCATAACCACCAAAATATAAATTTAGATTTGTAAAACCGTCTCCATAGCCGCCACCACATCCATATTCATCGCCTCCCGACCCTTCCCTATTCCCATAAGCACCCCCTTGCGACCACTACCGGCCCTAACCGCCTCCATAACTATCTCCACCATACCCGACCTCCATAGTCGCCTCCATAACCACTGCCACCATACCCACCGCCTCCATAGCCGCCGCAACTTACCATAACCACCTTCATAGCCTCCACAACCATAACTAAATTTAACATTTATTATATTCAGATCTGTTAAATAGAATAAAAAAAAAAGATGAGAAGTGGGGTTGGGATGAGAAAGAAACGAGAAACAGAGAAGGGGGAGGGGGTGTTCTGGCGACGTGAGAGAGATAAATGAGAAAAAAAGAGAGAAATGTGATTTATATTAGTTATTGTAAGGATATTTTTGGGTTAAATAAAAATTAAAGGATGTGTATCAATTTTAAATTTAAAGTAGGGATTTAGTTAAAATATTCTATTTGAGTTTATCACTCATATATAATTCAGTTTGGTTTAAGGGTGTTTAACATATTACCCCTTTTTTTATCAGGTAATTGGGCTTGGCCTGATAAGCCCATGTGTTAGGTCCAAATCGTGTCCTACCCAATTTGAACCTTTCTAATTGGCCCGTACTTTACTTATTAAATTCTTTACATTTAATTAGTTATCTATATAATAATTAGTCTAAATCTTGTCTGAACTACTACTAAATAGGCGATTGCGATCTTACACTTGAAATACATCGGGTATCCTCACACTATATGTCTGCACGCATATATAATGTAACTTCAAGAAAAAATAAAGGACCTCACTCAAATTTGGGGAGCCAAAATTATAAGTTTAAGGAATCGAAAATATGAAAAAGAAAATATGAGAGGGGTCGTTAATGCTTCTGCACACTATTTTTTCTTACGTCTATACATATGTTAATAGAGAAATGTTGGGGGCCATGACCCCTTTCCAATGTGGGCTCCACCAAGCTCAATCATGTATACTTTATTTTCCACATTTCCTGGCTCATTTTGTGGAGATATATCAGATTAGAACTAAATTTGTCGTAATCAATCACAAAAATAAAATCAATTAAAATAGCATAAAGATAGAACTGATGACTATAGCCTGGGAACTGGTGTTCTAGATCACTTAGAAGAAACTTCAATTATTAAAAGAGAAAAGTAAAGGAGTTCGTTCGCATAATCGGACAAATTTCATAGGTTCAACTTTACATAGTGCAATTAATAATCATCACTTCAAACTGTCCTAATCAAAATATTGGACCATGCAATTAATTAATTAATTAATGAAAACTGTTTCTTCCATTTGTGATATACAAGAAAAGTGACAATAATTGGTATATATAAGACCACATAATTCTCGATTCATATCTAATCTATTGAATCCACAATAACCCAAATTGCCCTCCATTGGCTTTAAAATACATTCATATATACATATTTATATTCCAGGGTTGTATTTGAATTGGATTTCAGATTAAGATGGTTTTTGCAAAACATTATTTAAAAGTAGCATTAAGTTGGTATATTAAGTAATTATTTCTAGAAGAAGTTAGTTTGTGCATCCGAGATGCGGATTAAATAGAAAACTAGACGGTAAAAAGAAAATTGTGATCTAAGTATGATCGAACCATACGAGGCTGTTCTTATGAATGTAAGCGGCACGAACACAACCCAAGTTGAAAAACTGGATTTCTTGTGTACCGACATTATAGAACACACAATCCTTGCCCGCAGACCAATTCTCGGAAATACACAACACCAACACCTCCATGTAATTTAACCACCCAACCGGGTAGAGTCCCTCGGGAACAAGAGTACATTCCAAGTGCTGTTCCATTCTGCACTTTTGAGCTTCCAAATCGATCTCTGGAACCTTCTTCCATTCCCCACTCTTTCCGTTTGGTTTCATCGTCATCTCCCAAACATCCCACGATAATCCACTCCTCGATCCCCTGAGCATAGTCACAGACCTCCATGTCGATAAAAATATTGTAATACGGAGACGTTCTTGGGGAATTCGGGTTTCTGTAATAATCTCAGTCTGTATGTTCAAACTCAGGATACAAGTTCTACCCCAGCCAACCCAATGCACAAAACCTTCGGTAACCAATGGTCTATACCTGAGAAGCTTCGCAACTTCTTCGGAAGATATGTGTGTGGTGTCAATGTACCTCCAAGACTTGTCAACTCCCAAAGTCAATATGGAACTTTCGAGATTGCGGGGGTATAGTCGGACCACTTTATACTCATTTGAAGCCGGAGCATAGCCCATGCATGAATAATAGTCGTAACCGGAAAATGGAGGGAGCGCAAACCTTTTATTAGTCGTGTGATTCTTGATGAAATGATTGTAAGTATTGCCGTTGCGCTTTGAGGGGTGGTCGTACTCCTCCACTGCCAAGCCGTTACAAGTAAGCCAATATAAGGAGCTGAATTTGTGAGGGTAGTCGAACTTGTCGATTTTGCCACCTCCTCGTCCCGCACTTACACTCACAAAAGTTGGACATTTGTAATTTGACCCCACGATCAAAAGTCCGGGCCTGGAATGCTCGAGGTGCTCTTGTATGAAATTACGTGTGTCGATGATCTTGTACCATCTCCGGCAAACGAGCATGGCGGATTCGTATAATTCTCGGGGTTCGAGCTCTAGAAGAATCCGGAACAACATTTCGTCCGGAAGAGAATCTATATTCGTATAATTCTTGTATTTACATCTCCTCGAGTAATAAGGCCGACTACGACCACGACGATTGCATTTCCTTTCATCCACCTTCTTCTTCTTCTGCATATTGCATTATTGTACATAACAAACACATGCTAATGTAACATATTAACATTTTCACAGCACATTAAATTAACAGATTTGTTATATTAATTCCCCAATTAATATACAATCTGTTGATAGAGAGTGGTAGGAAAGTCGAAGCTTTATGATTTGTAATAAATTACGTACCTTGAGATTTGCTACTTGTTGATTTTCCATGGCAGATTTGCTACTTGTTCACGAACCGCCGCCGCCGGCGGCTGGCGAACACGTCTTTTATGAATTAATAAAAATTTATTTGATGGGCCGTACTACTTTTTGGGCCATTGTTGAAAGGCCCACATGAAAAATGTTTCTTGCAAAAATTCAAACTTCATGAAAAGTAGTTTCTTGAAAAATTTCATCTCATACTTGATTGATTTCATTCCAAATTCCAATTGTAGTCAATTTTCAACAAATTTCTATTTTATGAAATATTAAATGTCGTTTTGAATTCGAATTTAATTTTGACCATTCTTTACTCTGATTTTGGTGGAACTCAAAACACGGAAATTGTACTACATCGATTTATTTTCTGAACCTATCTTAAATCATCAGCTAGATCGGATGTCATGTGATAAAATTATGCGTGAATGACTTATATTTTGAAAATTCTAGACAACTCAAAACATAAAATTTACGGGCAGTATCGATCAATCGGATCATGCATATTTTTTTTCACCCAGCATCTAATTTAGTGATTTAAGTTGGATTCGAAATTCAATTCAAAACCTACAAATCTCGTGTTTTGAGTTTTGCCAACTTCATTATATCATTTGTGAATCTGTCCAATTAATTTTAAATCATTATATCTAAACAATTAAAAAAAAAAAAAGAACACATAATTGTACTCACCAAATTATTCCCCCAAACATTTAATTTATTTAATTGTTTCCTATAAATATATAACTGAAATTGTCAGTATGTATGCAAGGATTTGTTTAGTGGGTGCACGATTGCAGTAAGGTACGATAGAATACGCACACGGCTTACGATAGCGGGAATCATGGGATGTGTAGTTAGTACCTGCCCAAAATATAATTTTGTATTATTATTATTATAATTATTATTATTATTATTATTATTATTATTATTATTATTATTATTATTATGAATTTGTTTGAACCACCACCAGCAGCAGATGCTGCTGTCCTTTTCCAGATCTTTACGTACACATAAACAAACAAATCTATATCTACATCTCCCTAACTTTACTCTCTCCAAATTATTGAAACTATTTATTTTTCAATAAATAATAAATAAATAAATAAATAATAAAATAAAATGCATTTATAGCTGTCACGCATAACCAATCTCCCATGAGTGGACCTTCTTTTGCTTTTCTTTTTCTCATTGACGGTTCGCAAGGAGACAGCCACACTCAAATTATTGCAACTACTGAATTGGATTTTATGAGGGTATTAATTATTTCCTGAGTATTTCATTTTTATATTATAAATAAATACTTTTATTTGGCTTAAATTTATTACTTGTTATTTTAATATTAATTATTTCTGGTGAAATAAAATTCCATATTTTAATCACTATTTCAGACTATTAATAATAATCAATTCTTAATTGTGGATTAAATATGTGGAAAGAAAAACTGAATTCATTACGCTGCAATATTCCTATAATGCCCTTGAATTTAACATGTAATTACCAGCCGTGCCATACCAAGCACAAGAGGACAAAAGCTAAGCGGGTCCCACTTTAACTAACTTGGCGTACGTGGCAGAAGACTCGGTGGAAGTATTGTTCTTTGTCCATCTATTGTGACGTGGACAACTAATCCATCGACCACCTGTCGTTCCCATGCTTCCCAACTGTCACCCGCCGCCGCCTTGTAAGACTACTTTATTATTATTATTATTATTATTATTATTATTGTATTAATATATTATTATCTCTTATTTATTTAATTCATTTTCCCATAATAAACTAATTGCCTTATATGGCGTATGTTTCACGTGCTGCAATTGCTTTCGTCCAATAATTGGAGCCCAAAGAGGGCAAATTCATAAAGCCCAAAGTATCTTCCAGCTGGTCTGCAGTTCATCAATCTACCCCGAACCACTTTTCTAAAAGCTGAGAAGGGTAATTTTGTAAAATCTTATTGAAAATATTTATCAAAAATGAAAAATCTTATTGAAAATGTAATTTGAATATAATATAATATTTTTTTTTTCTAGCCACGTCACATCACTATGTATTGCCAAAGCGCAAGTTGCGAGATAAGTAAAGTTTTAAAACAAATCCCCATAAAAGCGAATATTCTAAAACTATCTATCAGAGTTATGGGTATATATTCCAATCGCATTTTCTGAGTTTTTACAAAGTTATTAATGATTGAGAGAATTAGGTAAGGGCGAAGTTAATAATTTATTGTGATTTTTCTCTAAATCACCAAATTTTATCAAATTTTTAAATTTAAAATTTATTACATTTTCCAAATGTTTTTTTTTTAATTTAATTAAACAATCAAAATGAATGGATCTTCTCATTCGTCCACTAGAAATTTGTTCACGATCATAATCTATATATAGGACATGGCATGAGTCGATTATATCGGCCAGTCACTCCACTTTGAGTCATTCTTGGCCGATAATTGGACCGATAATTTTAACCAACTCATATACAAATAGACCGATCAGTAGTTTTTAGTCTACTCGAAAGTCTGTTAGTGAGGTAATATCGGGCCGATTATAGTTTTCATTATTCTGCAACATCGAGTGGTCTAGTCGGATAGGTAATTATCCGACCCGACTCGCCCCAAACCGTGCACTATCTAAATTATTAAAGTAGGTAGCCTATTTAACTAGATTTTTTCTGAATTTAATAAGCCTAAATAAGATTTAATTAAATTTAAACTCCCCATAAATGGATGAATGAGAAGAAACCTCCACGACCCTCACAATCACGTGAGTTGGGTGCCACCGACTGACAGCACATAATCATAATTATTTTCACCTCATTTAATTAAATTGGAAATGATTTTAAAAAATAAAATAAAATAGTAAAGTATAGATAAAATGATAATTGGATTTCACATCCCAAGACAATGATCATAACGTATTACTTTGTGACTTAGTCAAACTATTTACACGTATTATTTACCGACCAGTTTCATATTGTGACATTTAAGTTTATATAATGTTTTGTTGAGTGAATTTGTATTATTATACTCGTGTGAATAGTGTCATTTAAATATTTCTAGTAAATTTTATTATAATAATTTAATATATTTCTCTTATTATAACTGTTATTGTCATGAATTTTAAATTAAATTTTATTTTTTTACTTTTATAGTTCTATTCCATGCATCGCACGAGGAAAAATACTAGTATAATGTAAAACTAACGGACTCATATAGTATTGTTAAAAGAAGTGAGCAAAAAAAAAAAGTATGTAAGACATATAATACTATTAAAAGAATTGAGAAATTCGAACCACATCATCGAAGTTGCAGTATACTAGAGGTGAAAATTGGAACGGGATATATAATTTGCGCCGATTTTATTTATTTATTTATTTTGGAATTATATTTTTTCGTTCCAAATTCTGAAAATTATAATATCCGATTTATTGTTTGATTATAATATTTATAATATTATTGTATTTTCGTGTTATAGGTAAATACTATTGAAAATAATTCATTTTGATTCCTAAAATTTCAATTTTTTATTTCTGAAGATAATTATTGGGTGTGGAATTGGGATTAGTTTTCATTTATTAAAAAAAACTTCTAAAAAATATTGATTCTAATTTATATATCCGAAACTAGATTTACAAACTATGATCTAAATCAGATAATTTTTATTTATCAATTTTGATAGATTGATATAAATATTGTAACACAGGGAGTAGATATGGATAACAAGGGTTTGATACGGGTGCTTCAAAAGAGGACGCAATGAGCACGTGTGTCTCCCTTATCCCGGTATGGAGCACGTGATAAAGTGTTCATCCCCAGTCCCCACATGCAAATACGGTTGAGCCGTTGAGGATTTAAACCGGTTCAATTAAAGTAATTCGCCGGACGCGCTGACATCTGTTTTCTGCAAAGGCTATAAAGTGTTAGTTGTACAAATGCGATTTCCCTATATCTCTCTTCTTTACTCCACTTTCGTTTTTTTTTTTTTTTAATTGTATAAATATAAGGGCCTGGCTAGGGCTGGGCATTTGGGATCGGGATTCGGGATCCCGTCCCGTCCCGATCGAAATTTTACTATTTGCGACTAAAACTTTGGGAATTCGAGATTATGGGATTCGAGATTGGGATTAGGAACAAATACGGGATCGGTAGTAAGGCATTGGTTCAATCCCGATCGGGATATTTTGATCCCAAATTAGGAAAAAAAGAAAAAAAAAACTAATAAAAATACACACACACACACACACACACACACACATATATATATATATATATATATATATATATATATATATATATATATATATATATATATATATATATATATATATATATATATATATATATATATATATATATATATATATATAGTGTCAAGGAGATAAAAAATACAATATAAAATATATTGTTTCAACTTATTTTTACATTTTTAAAATTTTATTTGTTCCAAGTTTTGTGGTAAAAAATAAAAATAAATAAGGCAAGAACAATAGTATGTATATGATATATTCAAGTTGGTTTAGTGTATAAAATAATACTAATGAAAAAAAAGATGCAATATTTCTTAGTTTTTAGGCAAAATATGGGATTTCCCGATCCCAATCCCGATTCCCGAAATATTTAGGGATACCGATATAACCGGGATTTAATAGTATGGAACGGGATTGGGATTTAAAATTTCTATCCCGAATCCCGAAATTCCAATCCCGAAATTCCAATCCCGAAAATCCCGAATTCCCGAAATCCCGAAATTCCGTCCCGAACTCACCCCTAGGCGTGGCCGAAAATGATTTTAGACGAGATATTTTAAATTTTCATGTGTTTTCGACAATATTTGTAATGTATATATCTGTTATACTTACTACGAAATCCAGAATATATTAATTGTAATTGTTGAATCAGGATTAATTCATTACTTATGAATTGAAAAAATATTTTAAAATCTGAATGCATTATGTAATATGCGATACTCCTAGAATTGAAATATTTAGAACTATGTATCGTTGACTTTAATGACTTTTGCGTATATCTAAATTTGATTTTAAATCTATGTAGCACGTAAGTTTCAACTTCTTAACATTTTTGCATTTTAGAAACGCTTAGCGTCGGAAACTCGAGAACATCCACCAGACATATGAATCATTTTGTAATTTCTAAAAAGTTTAGAAACATTTAAAAGAATAATTTTCAAATATTTTCGTTAGTCCCCTAATTATTTTCATGATTTATTGATCAACTACAAATTGATAGTTGATAGTAAAATTTATTTGGAATATGTTTGCATGGAAATATAGATTTTTTTTTATAAATAAACAAAAACTTATATATATATATATATATATATATATATATATATATATATATATATATATATATATGGGAAATAGTGGGATAACCCCCTAGTTTGAAAATAT